TAGACCAAAATCGTGATGACACTTGAGTCGAAAATGTGTGTGATGTTGACACGCATGAGGTGACATTAGTGTGGCGCTGATACATTAAAATACTGTATAAATCTAAATCCCTCAATTTTTTTCGGTTACGTAATAACATGTAACGTCACATGGGCTCATGTGACGTGACAATAGTCTGTTCCCACCTTAAGAGTAACGGCCAATTCTTATTTCTTAGTAAAAACACTATAAACCATGCGGACGAGCATGGTAGATAGCATGGCAAATATAGACTAGGAAACCGTATGCAGCGGCTATTTATTTTTAAATTATTTAATTTACAATATTCAATTATCAAAAAATTGTTTGTTGTTGATTTCTTATAAATATTTACCATAAAATGCATTTATATATTCAAAACCTTTAAATATGCATAATCATATAAATTTGGTAAAATATGCAAAAATATGCAACATCAACTTTTGTATTTCAACTGTATGGTTCATGAAACAAATTTGTATCGAATCAGATTTGAAATATGCAGCTTCCTGAGAAAGATGCAAATGCATAAAGTTAGTCCTGCTTATCAGTTTTCACCGAACATCGATAATAATACTGATAAATACAAAATTATAAAACTAGTTATTAATAGATTTATCGCGGCACACTTCAAAGGTGCTCGCGGCACACTGGTTGAAAACCACTGACTTATATGGTTACAATACAAGACAATATGATATTTATTACGATTATAATAAGTATACTACTATAGTTTTGTTTAAAATGTATTATTCTTTTAAAAGGTTAAATTATTAATATGTTTGATATCAAATATCTATAATTTATATGAGTATACTTTATGTAAGCACTCATCCACTTTTAGATGCTTTTTCAGTTGTTAATTAGTAAAAGAATTCTGGGAATTCTGTTAGTGAAATGAAATGAGATTCAATAACCTGCTTTAATCTTTGTAAATTGAACTTGTATCCTGTAATAAAATGTGAAAGCCTTTTTAATATAAAAATAAAATAAATAAACATTTTTATTCTATATCTAAAAAAGTAGTATAATATATATACATGTAGGAAATAAAAAATAGTTGATAAGTTTTGTTATTATATTATATAAAATGTCTTTTTAATCTAATTCCACACAATATATATATATATTAGTTTCAGTGGTATTTTCTGATCATCAGTATAATATTGTTAATTATTTCTGTTTGAAAAATTGATACAGGATCCAAAAAGTCGATAGGTTTTAGTAAAGATTAAAGGCAGAGTAGAACCAAAATCCCGACCACCCACTATTTACTTATTAAATCACTAAAAAAATGTTCTTGCTGGACTCAAATTCAGTACATTATGATAATACAGATTAAAATATTTCATTTTATTTATAAAAATATTACTGTTTTCGGTAATATTAAAATATTTCAATCATAATTTTGCTATTCCATTTAACTTTTAATGTATTATTTATTAGTTACTTATATCTGAGAAAGAAAATTAGTATAATTCATGGGTTCTTAACTTTTTGAGGTCCATGCCCCCTTTCAAACTATTTTATGAGTTCATACCCCACCCCCTTACTACTATAAGATTGAAGTATGTATAATATTTAAATGTAATATATAATTTAATGTTGGTTATTGGTCTCATTAGTATACAACTTCAATGAAGATTTTTTTAATATTAAATGAATTTATTTGCATAAAAAAAAATCGACCACAGCGGCAAGGCACTGCGTATAAAACAGCAACATTTTAATTTTTCGTATTTTTTCCAACATTTTCACGCCTTCCTGAAATGTTGTCATGTCTCCCTAAAGGAGGCACACTCCCAGGTTGATGACCACTGGTATAATTGAACGATCAAAATCAAAGCAATATTAATAACTATATATTGTGGTTTAAGGTAGAAAGATAGAGGTGGGAATTTATCAAAAGTTAACACCATCAATATTTTTTAGTATTAAAAATTCGTGCTAACAATTATTTTTCATAGCTAATTTTTATTTATTATAATTAATGCTAATAAATTAATTAAGAAAATAAAATTAGCCAATGTAAAATAGTTTACCAATGAAAATTAAATAATAATTATGAAAGTAGAAGTATTAAGGTATACACTGCTGCTTTGTATAAAATACAAAAAATATCTATGGTAAGTACATTAAAAATTATAAGTATTAAAATATGTGTTTAGTATTCAAAGAGTTATTTAACTCTATTACAACTTGTTAAGGCACAAAATAAATAAATAACTAATAAAATTTAAAACTTAACAAATTACTCATATAATATACTTATAACTGACTGGATAAATATTTAATTATGCCTTATGCCTATACTTAATTTACATATTAAACAAAAGTATAAAAATTGAATTATAAAAAAAAAATTGATTTTAAATATAAGAATTATAATACTATTTATGATAACTAACAATTTTGGTATCAATCCTCTATAGATTTTTCCAATACTCTACCTAATTCATTATAAATATGTAAAATTATATATTATATATATTTATATTATAATATATTATTATTATATAATATATAAAATTAATTAAAGTGTGTTTGATTCAATTACTTTTTGATTGAAGCCCATAATTGGTAATTAAATATATATTATTTCTACCATTGTAGATAGGTTTGTTATTTTTATTATTATTATTAGGTTTCTCGCATTCATCATGTTTGTTAAAACATAACTTAACTTCATTACCTATTTCATGGGTACCTCTCTCTGTGTGATTCTCACCCTTTAAAAATATACTTAAATTTTTTATAAATTCCTTTGCTCTCTCTAATTTCAAACGCATACTGTATGCATTTATGTAATTGAAGAAATATTTTTTGTTAAATGTTTTCTTATATAAATTAATTTATTTCATCCACATATATTAAATAATTTTCCTGGTCTAATTTTAATTACTTAATAGTTAAAAATGAATTTTGTATAAACGACATTCATCACTGGACCATGACAGTGTGTTATTTTGTGCCTGGTAGTACAAACTATGTGCTACGTATCTCTCTCAAATCCAATATTCTATAATTTTTTTTCGTGAAACCTAACACCTCTGAATATAATTAACGACCATTCAATGTATTTACCAATTTAAAATCAAAAATATAGTCATTATTATTACCATAGTCCATTATTGCTAATACTTATCTAATTCCCATTATCCTCAACTTTTCCTTCTTATCCAACTTATCTTCAGCTGTTCCGTAAATTCATCTAAATAAATTAATAACAATATTGAATGTATCTATATTACTTACTCAATAACAATTTAAATGTATACCTACTTTAATAATTATTACTTTCCAATACAACAATGGGTGTACATCAATTTTTGCATTTGAGAGTTCCAAATACTTGTCGCAATACTAAAATAGTCTCATGTTCCAGTTCTACTTCTTTTTTTTCCATAATCCGTTCTTGCAAAAAACCAAACAATGTGTATGAAGTTTAATTATTTTGAATATACATTTAGAACAGTTGATCATTGTTTTAAATATCTGGTATTCTTTCATACTTATCAAGTTGACGGTAAAATAATGAAGATTTCATTTGCAAAAAGAAACAAATTTTTGATATAAATCTGAATGCATGTTACGCCATATATGTATAGCACGAATTAATTTATTGTTTTATTTCAAAAATTATTATACTTATAAAATTCTACTTACTTTTTAGACAAAACTGACACAATGAAGAACATAGCTTTTTTTTTTCGATTTAAATCTATCAAATTGGGGGGTCGTTATAAATACTACCTATTACGGCACTACAATATTGTTATCATTTTCAGTCGTCATTTTATTGTTATCAGACAAAGTTATTTAAGATATGCGCGGCAATTCGTATTTTAATTTTTGATCGTTGAAACCCAATTAACTTGATATTTAACTTTATACAATGTAGGTCGTAGGCATAGGCGCAATTTGGGGAGGGGCTTGGATGTGCTTAGCACTCCCAAATATGTTCATGTTAATTTACATTTAAATACACATTACTAATTATGTATAGAAAAATAGAGTTTTAATTGTAGAAATATATAAATTTATTACCTATTTAAATAATAGTGATGGAAGTGTGTCCTTCGTCTCTTCGATTCTCGAACTAGATAATAGTAATAGATAGGGTTGCTAGATTTTGAAATCCCTAAACCTAAACCATCATATTGAATGACTCTTTTTTTATTTTGATATGAAAGTCAAAATAAGTATATAATTTTGTAATTTAAATATTTATTGGCTAATACAAAAATACATTATTATTGTATATAACCATAATCTAATAATATAATGTACAATATTATTCAATATTATTAATATTATTTACAATATTATGTTTTATTATAAATAATATAATATTAAATTTTATTTTCTCTCAGCTTTTATTTACCGGGATAAACCGAATAATTGGCCGGGACACCGGGACGAGTAGCAAACCTAGTAGTAAATATATTGAGTTTTAAAAAAATTGTTTAGGTCTCAACGACTGTCGAAGGACCAGTCACAATACAAAAAGAACACAATGTTAATAATAATTTTGTGCCCAACTTTGTATGAGTTGAGCTTTGAGTGCCATTTTAGATGTTTGATAGGTAATCTAACCACGAATCTTGGTGGGCGGCGGCTACGATAACGCTGACGGAGAATCAGAAAAAAATGATTTTCACAATAGGAAATAGGAAATAGAGTTTAGCTATCAGGGGCAGTGGCATATGTAGGGGGTGTCCCCTAAGTCCGGGCCCATAGTGAAATTTCAGATTCAATTAAAACATTTTTATGCATATTGCTAAATTATATAATTATATATAAATACCATATGATACCATGGCCCGTACCAACTATTATTGTTGTTATTGCTATTATTATTGTTCTATGCTAGTATGCTGTTTTTGAGGTTTAAAGGGCTTTAAAAAAGCCCACACACGATCAGTTTAACTGTGCAGTTTATCACGTATGACGTCATGTCTGAGCGATAAACTGAGGAAACTGTGCAAATTTTTACGCAGACTTTTGGCCTGCGCGAGATAGTCTTTGCACCGATAAACGGCGCAGTTAAATCAGTTAATCGAACAGTTTGCACAGTCTTCTCTAATGTTGTCATCCATTTTTCGGTAATTACTGAAATCGGCAATTTCCCCTCCTTCTTTCAAATCCCTCGGCAAATGACAATCGCTGGGCAAAACAATTCTTTGCAGGAACCAATCCTTGCTCCAGCGTTCAAGGAACCTTTTCTTCCGCTTATCTTCTTCTTCAAACAGCACTGCTACAATTACACAACACACTGCTGCTGTTTTTTAACGGTCACCCACTGTTTTCTGCATACACATACAGTTGATCAGTAGACTGTGACTACACCGCACGAAAAAACTGAGAGAACTGTGAACATATCTGATGAAAAAACTGATGTATCCTACACACCTTCAATTCAGATAACGGTACAATTTTTACTCAGTTAATTTCACAGATAAACTGCACAGTTAAACTGATCGTGTGTGGGCCCCTTAAAATTCAAATTAGTGACTGATACCATGGTCCATGATTTCAATGACCAATCAAAATACGAATAAACTATGAAAAGACATGACAAATAAAGCTGTGTATTTACATCATGGACTAGATATCTTAACAACCCTAATCCGTGGTTTACATAGTACCTTGGTAGTGAATTCTATTTTTAGAAATCGATTTCTATTTACTATTGTATTTACATTGTTATAAAATGTTATTAATTCATCACGAGTTGCTAAGAATTGTTTCGTCGATTGTCGATACTCGATTGTCTTAGGCCGATCGCACACCAAAAGAGCAAAACTTCGTTAGACCGTGTTAGTCAACTAAAAACAATTTTTTTTTATAAAGTGTACACTACCTAGACAAAACACCATTAGACAAGACAAAAATCAGTTGTCATCATGTTATCTGATAAATTTGTTGCGATTTGCATGTGGTACACGTAACAAAATTAAGAATAGAATTATAAAAAAGAAAAAATTATGGATTCATTCGTTAAATAACAACTTGGACCTTGTCTCCAAAATCATAAATGGATGGTCTTATTTCCACTAAAATTACTAGTATTTACCATATAAACTATATAAGCAGTCTTGTTAAGTATTCGAATACTTGTGTTTAAATACTTTTTGATGTATTTATATGGTATTCTAAATACAACATTTTATGTATTTTTTTAAGTATTTTGAATACTTTTTAATTGTATTTTTACCAAAATTTAAATACTTGTATAAAAATACTATAAAATTCGTTTAAAAAAAAAAAAACAAAAAAATCGCAAAATATGCATTTATATGCACAATAAAATTTCAAAACTAGCTTTGTGGAAGCATGAAACGTATTTGTTTCGTACTCTGCTATTTTTGGGACTGTGCAAAAAAAATATGAAAATGCTACAAGTCCTCTGCTCTAATAATATCAATTTTTTTTTGTAGTTAACTATTTTGAGGAGCGTTTAACACAGGAATGCACCTTAAACATTTTGCGCATACGCGTAATTTATTCACCACTATCATAATGTTAGGCTGTTATCAATGTATTATATTAAATCACTATAATACGATAATAATATTATTATAATTATATGAGTTTTGAATCAAACTATTAAAAATTTGAACATATTGCATACGTAGGTATTTTACATTTTTTTTTGTGCTTCGATAATTTCAGTAAATAAATCGTTATACATACCAGATACATTTGAAAAAAAAAATCAAAACAGCAATAACTATCTAATATGTCGAGATAGCTTTTAATAATGTTTATTTATATCTAAATTTACCCAATTATCTATTTGAAAATTTCATAAACCAGACTTTACCAAAATTTATTACACTAAGGATATTTACTAAATGTTTTATTGAGTATTAACAATACAATTCACAAACATCTTAAACATAAAAATTCAATATTATCTAATATCTATGTATATTACATTATCTTAATAGTAAGTACAAATATGAATTATCAAAAGTTAGTTTTGATTCAAAACCAACTAGTGTAGTGGCCGAGTTGTGAGTTCAACACGGTTACACAATATTAAGATGTAAGGATTTTAGAGTTAGATTAATAACTTTATCAAGAATAAACTTATTACGGTATTATTGATATTTTATTTAACATCAACATAGACAAAGTAAATGATAGTAACAAATATAAGCGGAGCGTATATACTGGATGGCTGGATATATTTGGTTGCTAATGCTGTTTCGCGACTTTTTCCTATTCGAGATTTTGCGATTCACACGTGGGTCATATTACTTTTATTAATTTGTTTATGGTTATAATTCTAAATTGTAACTACGCAGTGGCACCGAGCTCTAAAAAAAGTACTATTGTTAAATTTGTTTTCAGAAGGTACCTCCCACCAATAATGTCACTTGTCAATGTAATAATAAATAAATAATAGGTTACAATAGTTATATTGTAACTCTAATCTGTTGTTAAAAATGTGAAGGTTATTATTTGTAAAATTATAATATTACTGTATGATACTATCTACGTTATATGAGCAGCATTAAGGTCCTAATGACTATTTGGGGCTAAGCCCTTAGGACTACCCACCCCATTTAAGCTATTATTTTAACAAGACTTGTTAAGGAGGTTCGGCGCCACTGTAATTACGTAGTAACTTTAAAATACGTATGAAAAAACATAATGTATACATAGTACATTACACTAGAGTTGAAACTTAACATCTCAATAATATGTTACTACAAAAAAAAAAAATTATAACGAAACTGAACATTATTATTTAACAACTAAAATAAAATGATAATATATTATTTACATAGGAAGTATGTGGTTAAATTTTGAATAGTTTGATTTATAACTCATATTATTATAATAATATTATTATCGTATTATAGTGATTTGATATGATATATTGATATCATATAGCATAGACTTTATACTAAGGTTTAAGGTACCTTAGTATAAGGCCTGGTGCACACTTGCGTTATTTTAACGCGCGGCACCGCGGCGATGACGCCGTATTCAATGCACACCTAGTGGCAAATATACATACCTATATACATATACATAACGTTATGTATACCTATATACATAACGTCATACATACGTACGGTCAGTACGACGTTGGAACGCAAACATAACACTTTTCTTTTGTGCAGTTTTGCAGTTTTCACTTACCTATATTATTATTTACATATATTGTCAGTATGGATTTGACACAAGCGATGGAAATTTATAAAAGAAAACGTATTATTTTTGCGTACCTTGTGTACAAAACGACGATAGTGTGCACTGACCAATATGATACAATGAATTGAGCGACCGCAAGTGAAGGCGCGGTGACGCTGCGGTGCGATAACAACTTGCGACAAAAACTTTGTCGCAGATGGACGCGCGTCACCGCAGCGTTGTCGCTGTGATGTGTGCATTACGCAATTAAATTTCAAGTTTTCCATACCGCGTTTGCGGTGCCGCAGCGTTGCCGCGCGTTAAAATGACGCAAGTGTGCACCGGGCCTAAGGTCTATGGTGTAATAGCCTAACATTATGATAGTGGTGAATAAATTACGCGCATGCGCAGAATGCGTAAGGTGCATTCCTGTATTTAGACGCTCCTCTATTTTAGCGGGCTGTTCGTTTTTCAAATGGAATACAACAAAATTTACAAAGCGTCAACACTGTTCCAATACAAATTGATAATGAATCGAAAGATAGTGTCACAGATATCAATAATAATTATTTACCTATATAGTTTTAACTATAGTTTATTATTGATATATGTGGATGTCAATAATATTGATAACCTTGCAATATTGAACACATTCAAAAATAATATTACATTTATATACATAGTTCAATATTTAATATTCATTTTTTATCAATTCAGTTTTGTTTCATAGTATTTTATCCCCATTAAAAAAAATAACATTAAAATTCTCAGAAGCCGATGGCTAAGTTAGGGTAATATATATGCTTGTTACTTTTATTTAACTGAAACAGAGTGGAATTTTGATGACTTGCTATTTAGGTATACAAATATTGGTATTTATTTATTGAAATTTGCTATTACTTATTTACAATACTTCGGATATAGTTTTTGTTGAATTGTTGTACTGTGAGTAGTTGAAGGTTGTTGTTTCTTATCAATATTGACTTATTAAGTTTGTATAGTGGTATAAATTGTATTAGTATTGCATTTTTAAACATTTTTCTTATTTTTTTTTTTTTTTAACAATTTCATTAATTTTTCTATTTATAATATTGTTTTAATTTACAATGATTTACATTGATTTACAATTTGATTTACTGAAATTGTAATAATAGGTGATTGTATTATTTTAATTTTAGTAGACCTTTTTTTATCATAGATTTTTTTCATATTTTTGATATATGGGTATAAAGTCTTACAGATATAATAGCTATAATAGTAATAATATTCTTATTCAGCCCTTCCCCCATTAAACAAGCATAAAATCTTCCTCTGTCTTATAATAATATAAAGATATTATATTTTTATTTTTTCTCTTACAATATTGAAAATATTCTTTCTGATATAATGTATCAATATATTTAATTTTCATTGAATTGATCAGTATTTAAAATTTAGTGTTACATTGATTCATAACTATACAAAAACTGTTAAGTTAAATACATATATATATATATATATATAAAATATCAATGTCTTTTGTTTATTTTTTTCTTATATATTTTGCTAATAAATTATCTTCAAAAAGTTAAAAACTTTAATAAGTTTGAAGTATAATTTTCATTTATTTTAGGTTTGTGCTACCCATATAATAAAGTATTTATATCTGCTGAGCAAATAATGAATTAACGAATGACATATGCTATGGATAAGAGTGGTTACTAATTGCTCAATGCCAATGTCAATACTACGAGTAAACAATTACAAGCCATAAATACTTTTGTTTAATGAGACCTAGGGTAAAAAGGTTGAAGAAGAAAATTACTCCCTTAGTTCTAAGTGCTCACTCGGTAATATCAATTTTTGTATACCAACTACTGCTAAGTGTATCATTAACTGTTTCAGATATGGGTAGAAGAAGTATATTTCCATTATTATTCATATTTTGCATGTATGTTAAGATAATTCAATGTGATGAATTAGCAAAATGCTACACTCAACCAGTAGAATCTTGTCCATTACAAAATAAATGTAAATGTGTTAAAACTGGAGAATTGTCATTCTGTTGTCATTTGCAGTCATATGAAGATTTGGTTAAGAACTTAGAGTGTTCAGGTATAATGAATTAATGCTGTACTTTATTCATAGTTTATAAGTGGTTTATATTTTAGTTTTTAAAAGTTTACATTTTTAATTTGAGTATAATATAATCATAAATTAACTTATTTAGTTTCAAAAGTTCATACAATATTTATTTTTCTAATTTAAATATTTTAAAGAGAAATTAGCAACCATACACAGTATGAAATTGTGTATATTTAAATAATAGTTTATATAGTATAACTATAGTGAATTTCATGTTAACTATATTTGCTAGAGATATCATATTGATAAAAAGTATTTTTATCAAAATTATTAACAGCTGAAAATAATTTTTAATATATTAAATATTATTTTTCATATAATAGTATCAATGGCTAACTGGGTATCGAGGGGTTAATCAACTGAACCTTTTATTGTTACATTTCAACTAATAAATATTTTTAGTTAATGGTGTTCAATTCATTGTTATACTTTTTGTACAATAATGTTGTACAGTAATGTACAAATTTATAAATAAAACCAGAAATTATATATTAAATTTTTTAGGTTAAGATATATTTATAATTTTTATTAATATGTCATTATCAAGGGTCGAGGAGGCAATTGTCCTTTTACCTTCCTGGCCAGTTCATCCTTGAATTATATAGTTTTATTATATTATAATATTCATTATGAGCAGTTGGTTAGAAATATAGGCATTTATTACTTTTATACTCAATTATTATTACTTGTTCTTTGTTTTTCAGGTCCTAGATTACAACCAATTACAGCACTTCATATTTACAACATGACTACTGATAATTTTAACTTTGCAAAAATGTCACCAGAATTCAATAAATTGATCTCATTTTCTATAACAAATAGTTATATTAGAAGAATTCTTGGTCGATTTCCGCATACAAATGAAATTACTTGCCTAAATATGTCAAATAATGCTTTTGGTTCAGAATGGCAAGAACCATTAGCTTTTGAAAATCTTAAATATTTAGCTAGGTTAGATTTATCTAATATAAATATAACTAGGTTGCCTTCTATAAAAATTCAAGTACCACATTTTTGGCTGGATGTTTCAAGTATTTACATGTTAAACCAATATAAACATTACAATCGTCTAATGAATTAATTAAATATTTTTTAGATAACAAAAAGATGCACTGTGACAGTATTTTAGATCTTATGAAAAGTTGTATTGGATTAAAAAACAAACCATTTTTTATCAATCCAAATGAAACATTTTGTTTGTCATCGATAGGATTTCATTGGTTTAACTCTACAGAAAAATTAGCTTTAAGTCAAGTAGAAATTATTAACAAGGTAAAATTTAAACTAACATTTAATTGAAAATGTCTTAAAATAGCTTTTGTATTTGTTTTGAATTGATGTTTTAGAATTTACGCATAGAGTATTTATGTTTTATTTTTATTTGAAGAAAAAAAAATGTAATGTTGTAGATATTTGAAGATTGTCCTCAAAATTGTTCTTGTAAATCATATGGATATGATATGGTACAGGATACTAGTACATTGCACACTGTACAAGTAGATTGTTCGTATAAACAACTTTCAAATCTACCAGAAAACCTCCCAGAAAATACAGTGCTATTAAATGTTACTAATAATAATGTAATGTATTTAAATTATTGGTTTAAAAAACTTTTTTGTACATTTTCAAAGTTTTTATATATTTTTGATTATAAGCTTCCATAAAAACAAATAATTTTAGATTACCAGTATAGAGACATTGATATCCGATCATACATATAAAACACTGAGATATTTGTACGCAGACGAAAATAAGATATCTAATATTTTATCACTTGAAGGTTCAACTTTTATAGATAACTTTCTTGTATTGAGCTTAAGACTAAATCAATTGAAATCGGTAAGTGTATTTCCATTGTATAAAATAAACATGAAATTTATAAAAAATAATGTATAATTATTTATTATTATTTTATTTTTTTTTTAGATACCTATGTATATACTACAAAATTCGTTTATCAAAGAGTTTGAAGGACATATTGTTAAATTAGGTGGAAATGAACTTCAATGTGATTGTAGTACTGTACAATCGTTAAAGGTTTGATACAGTTTTTTTTTATAATATATGTGACTATTTGGTAATAGATATTATTTAATAATTTAAAATATCTTTTAATATTTTGATTGCTCTTGAAATTGTTAATTTGGCAAATTATTTTAATTTTAAATATTTATTTATTTATATAAACTATAATGGAAGTGAGTCCTAAAACATAATATTAAACATTGTGTATGGAAAAAAAACAACATAGTACAATAAATTATAATTTCTTACTTTATTATAAATTGTATATAATAAGAAAGTCTTAAGAGTGAATATAGAATAAAAATTGAATAAAAAACAATTTTTTAAATATAATTAAAGACATAAGTATTACTTGCAGCCATAAAAAAATTGGCAGGAGAGAAAAAAGTGGATAAAAAGGTTTTGGATCTCTAGTATTAAGAACATTAATTTTAAAACTGATCATAAAAAAATTTTTAGGATAATCAATTAAACCTAATATTTGTTTTTATCAAAATTTAGGGAGTAAAAGTATATGATGGTTAGAGAGTAAAGAAAAATTAAAATAATTTTAAACATTATTATATGTACCGTGGAGGTCTTTTGATGTTGAATTTTAAAGTTATAAAACAAATAAAATTATTTTGAATAGCTTTTAGCAAAATATTTTGTTTTAATGTATTGTTTATCCAGATTAAGGGGCAGTACTTTAGATTAGAACAAACAAGTGAACAATAGAGGATTTTTAATGAAATAGGATTTTAAAATGAACCACAAGTACGTTTAATAAATCATAAATTATGAAAGGTTCTAATTAAAATTCTTAATCATTTCATTATTAGGAGAAAAATTTAATTTAGAAACAAAAATTGCACCCAAATCTTTAAATTGATAAACAAACTTGATATTAGAGCCTGAAATTGAGTATTGAAAGTTAACAAGATTTTATTAGGTAAAATTTCATAATTTACATTTTTGAAAATTTAAAAATAGATGATTCTCAGATATTTCAGATATTAAGTTAAGTTTTTAATTTTTATACGTAGTAAAAATTATAAATGCGAGTTATGTAAATAATTATAAAAGTATATTTTTGTTTCAATTTTTTAATTTTCTTTTTTCTTTCTTTTGAATATGTCCTATCTTAATTAAAATCTTAAAATAATAAAATAGTCCTACATATATAGATTATAAATAATATATTATTATATTCATATTTTAAAGTAACATTTAAATAGTACCAAGTTCCATAACAATGCTCTAGCAATAACATTAGCAACTAACAATGCAGAATATTTGATCATACCAATAAAATACAATAATTAAAATATTAAAATATATAATATTTTTATATTTTCTTTGACACTTTGTTATTAAATATTACATAAAAAAAAAAAAAAACCGGATGGGCCTCGCTCTGCTGCTGTACAGTAGGTGGTGGAGTGCACTTTGTTTATAGGATAGGTCATTACTAGGGCTTGGAACTTCTAGGAACTTGCATGTTTTTAAATAATTATCAAAAACATAGCTAAGTAATATATAAATTTGTTTCATAGCAATACAAGTTTATATTTAAAATTTATAGTTGCATATTTTACATATTTGACCATTTTTCAATTATAAGTGCATATTTGACCATTTTTCATTTTATAAATGCATATTTGACAATTATTCATATGAAGGAGTAACTTTTTAAATTTTATAAAAAAAAATTAAGATTTATTTCTTCATATATCACGTGACTTGGAACTCAAGGTGTCTTATTGGTGCACTAACTGAATGCATTAAAATAATTAAAACTACAAAAAACGTATACATTCTGCAAAAATTGAAGAATCTGCACAAGCTAAGGCTAACTACAAAAAATATTGAAAATTTTAAATGGAAAAATGAATCTATGGATGGATTGCCTGCAGATATTAGTAGTGTCTTACGATTTTTTAGTTTGCACCAATAAGTTCCGTAGATGTGTAATGTTCCTTTTCTAAATATAAAATTATTTTGGCTGATAACAGGCAGTCATTTAAATTTTCCAACTTAAGAAAATATCTTGTAGTCCAATGTAACTCTCAAGGTTAGAAGAATTATAACTATATTAAAAATAGAAAAAATGATTTCAATTTAATTTATTTTAAAACCATTTTAAGTATTTTGTTTTAGATAAAAATTCAATATAAGATTAAAAAAAAATTTGAAAAAAGAAAAAATTATCTCAGATCATCATATATATCATATATAAAATATTATTATAATTTATTACAAGTTAAATTTTTTTATTTAATTAATTATTACAAATATAATTTTTTTAAATACATATTTTAATAGCATATTTATTGATTCTTTAAGGCATAAATGTATACATATTTTAAGGTTTTTAAGGGCATGAAGTCCCTAGCCCTAATCATTACAATGGATTTGTTAAATTTGAATGCAATGATAGGTATCATTGTATACAAATAACGATTCTGAACCATGATGATTTGTTAGATATACCTATATAGAAAAAATATTATTATATATGATTATAATAATTTTATATATAGAAAACAGTCTTCCAAAAATTTTCTATTTGGATATAATTTCTTTATAAATATCCTATATAACTATAACTATATTTAATTAACAAAAAATGACTCAAAACGGCTCTTATTATTTTATTAGGAAATTAAAATCGAATATTTCAAATGCCTATAAGTTGTTTAAAAATCAGTATAATATTTTGAAAAAATACGCATAAAGAAAATACCAAACTTAATAACTAGTAAAATTTTCGAGTTTCTGCGACTTTAATTTTTTGAATAATAACAAATATTTAAAATTGTTTGAGGATAAATCATTATTTTATGCAATTTTGTAAAAATTTAAATTTCAAACGGTCATAAAATTTTTTCTTTAAAGTCTGGTGGAAATTTTTTTAAAATTATTAAAAGAATAATTTATGGATAACCTTGTGTTAAAATTTTACACCTTAACTATAAATGGAAAAAATTTTATGAATTTTTAACTTCAAAATAACATGCAAATTATCGATATTTTGACTTATTTCATATAAATTTGGACTTTATGGGCTTATAAAAAAAATTTTTGTTGAACGATTTCCAATTATTATTAGTTGCAGTAAGTATAACTTATAATGAACCTTGTATTAAATTTTTATGAGTTTTTGGACAGCCAAATTTTTTTTATAGATATTTCAAAAAAAAAAACTTAAAAAAATTGAAAATTTAAATAGTCTATAAATAAGTCAAAAAATTTCAAAATACTTCGAAACTGTTACCATGTATAGAAAACAGTAATTTAAATATTTGGTGAAAATTTCAAGTGTATGCGGTTTTTCGTTTTTGAGTTAGAGCATTTTAAAAAAAATGTAGTTTGCCAAAACGTGGTGTTGCGAAAAAATTCCCGTTTTTTTGTAATTTGTTTATGGTTTTTTTCGATGCTTTTAAAAAGTATTAAAAAAGTTTAATTTTCAACACGCCAAAGTACCATCTACATTCACTTTCCTTTCAGAAAAGTTGCTGTTTAAGAAAATCAAAGCATTTTTACTGCCCCAAAACGTGATGACAGACACAAAAAAAAAAACAAAATACACATCATTGTAAAACCAATAGATTCCATCACTCCGTTCAGAATCTAAAAAATAACAACCCATAACAATCCTTGTGCAATATTAAAACTAAATTATTAACATTAACTATAAAATAATAATTTATATTTAATTCTCATTTGATGAACTTTTAGTTTTTTCATTTAATTTAAGTATGTAGATGATACTTAATAATTTTCTGGAATATTCTGTATTTAGGCGGTTTGGGAGAGAATTGTGTATGTATATCCAGTTAGAAAACACTTTCTAACTGGGCAGTTAACACTGGTAAATATAGTAATTTATTTGTCAATCTTTGCATTTCTGGATGCTTGTTTTTAGTAAAAGATCAAAATGCAATTGCTGATTATCCTTGTTTTTCAAATAAAATTTCAAATAAACTAGTTTTTTCTTTATACGCTATAAAATTGTTTAAATCTTCAGATCCAATTTCATTAGAATTTAAACTAAAATCTTCAATAATATCTTTATGTTCGGGTTTCATTTTTTCCCTTGACATTTTGGATGAAGAAAACTTACTGTTAATAAATATTTATTTAGTGCATAATCTTGTCGCCTTCTTATATTATTGAATCAAATTCTTCAAAGTTGTTTGAAATTTTATTTGTTAAATCCAACCATACTTATGTTGCTTCTGTGATTGATGAAGTGGATTTTTGACTGATTTAATAAGTTCACGTAGGGGATCAGTACATTTTCGCGACATTTAATTGCCCGACACCATTTGTCCGTCACTACACTTGCCCGACAATCTCAAATTATATTATAAATAAATATGTGTCAAAAATTATTAAAAATTTCAATAAAATATTATATTATACCTATTACGTTATCCTTCGAATTCTACCATGCACATAATTGTTCTCAAACCACTGCTTTATCTCAGAAGCTTCTTCGAGATAGTGGATTTCAATTCATCGAATGCACCGAGTATTTAAAAATATGTAATATATATTGTCGGGCCTTGGGCAAATTTTGTGTCGGGCATTCGAGTGTCGGGTAAACATATCAGACTCCATATATAGGATACAATAACTCAATTGAATCAGAAATTTGTTTTAATAAATATTTATGGACTGATGTGTTAAAAAGTATAGTGCTTATTGCTAACATTTTCTTCATTGGTGTAAACCAGTGGTTTTCAATGGGGGCGATATTGCCCCCCAGTGGGCGGTGAAGTATCACTGGGGGGCATTGAACTATTCTTGGGCGGTAGGGGGGTGGTGAACTAGTTTTGGGTGATAGAGGGCGGTAAGCGTATTCACGCAAAAACGTTGTATATGGTGTGACCTAAAAATAATTCATACTTGATAATCCATATAATAACTATTAGTTACTAATAGGTACTATATGTTGAGCAATGCACAATAACATTCTTTCATTATTGATAAATGTATTTTCTTTATTATTTTAGCGATTGTGCACGGGCATTGTATTTTATTATAGGTAGGTACCTATATTAACCAACCTTTTAGTAAACCGTTTGATTTGACCCGCGCATGTTGTATTCATTTTCGTTATTATATTCGTAACATTCAGTCTGTTAAAAACGTGTTTTTAAAAAAAAAAAATTACTACAAAAATACATGGGTAAATATCTACAAAAACAATTTTTATTTGATTTTAAAAGTAAAGTTTTTTCAAATGTTTAATTTAATTAATTTACTAGTATTATAATTAAAAAATATGAAAAATAAAATATAAATGAAAACATTAGTTATGAGATAATTATTCAAATTTTTTTCAAATTTTCCAAATCATTAACTTCTTTCCTATCTCTCAGCCCATACCATTAATTATAGAATTTTCACATAGGGGGGCGTTAAAGAATTGATTCCTACTCAAGGGGGCGGTAACATATTAAAGGTTGAAAAACACTGGTGTAAACATTATCTAATACATTTTGAAATGAATCCCTATATGTACATCATCTAGTGTCACAACAGGGCATTTAAATATACCGACCTCCTTGATTTGATTGCATCCAAAAACCGCACACTTTATGGATTGCTAGGCAAGTATATCATACAGCCAAATACCGCACACTTATAGTGGATAAAAACCTCACTATAAAATATATTAATAATAATGTATTTTGTATAGACGAATGTTGTATATATAATTTTAAAGTTAATTGTTACATTCATAAGCTTATCGTACGTTGATGTGCTTGAAAAATAACCAGTACACTTGTCGACCGAAAAGCGTGATATAACGTAAAGTTTATATACATGTACAGGGACGGCGCGAGGGCGTGGGCACAGGCCCGACTCAAGGGGTAGGCGACATAGGTCCACGCCTAGGGCGGCATTTTTCCTAAACAATTTTTATATATATAAAAAAAAAATATTTGATAAAATATTTACACGTAAGGGGCGGCAAAAACTACATTTCGCCTATTTTTGTTTAAACACTAGAGCCGTGTGCGGTTTTTGAAGTCGTCGCTTGATTTAACAACTCTTTTTCAGAATCTGGTCCGTGTAATGCTTTTAATATAACTTTAGCTTTCTATATTAATGGTTTTGATACAAGGTCTTTTGCAAGAAAATTGGTAGATTTACTATTGCAGATAAAATGCCAAATTTTAGTTTGCCCATTTTTATCATAGTTGCCGCATTATCACTAATTACTGCGTAAATATGGGTGTTGAGTTTTTCTAAAGCTTAAGATATAAATTTGTCCAGTATATTAGAAAGTTCTATTGCAGTTTCTTTAATCATTTAATCAAAAGACTTTAAGTGACTTACTATTATCAAAAGAGTAATTAACGAGCACAAAATTCGTAAATACGTCTGTGTGTATACCCCAACTTTGATTTCTTGTTAGGTAAAAAAAAAAATATTAAATAATTTATCTCATCTGAAGTACTGAAGTTGTTATTTCCTACAGCCTGTATCATTATTATATTATTTAATTTTTATATTATATTATTAATTTTTATAATATCATGTATACATACTCTACAATTGAGCTCGCACCCATCTAATAACTAAATTATTAATATTATTTATAAAAGTGTTTTTTATATTCTAAATAAAGTGAAAAAATTCATTAATTTTGTATGTGTAGTTAATATATATTAGCAAAATTATTAAAAGCTTTAAAACTATAGTTTATAATTGTATTGTTTACTATTTTATAATTAATTGATAATTTATTTATTTAAAAAAATTGTTATACCTAGGTTATAAAAAAAAACTTCTAATAATATTATACTAATTATATTTAAACTCTTTGAACATCAATTATTGTAACTTCTATTAGTAATTTAATAGATATTTTTATTTGTATTTAAATTAATCTTTATACTTGTAGATATAATTATTATTTCAGCTGTGTTGGCAAATAATTAAATTAAATATTGTTATATTTGCAGATATGGTTGTTATCAAATCGTCTTCATATTCCAGATTATGATGAAATTTTATGTGATAATTTTCAGTACAAATTAAAAGTAAAATTAATTTTTAAGCTATTATAATAAATCTTTATAGTTCTAAAATACTTTTTATTTATTCAAAATTAAAACTTAAGTAAATACTTATTATAAAGGCTGGGATTTTAATGTCCTTAAAAGTTGCTAAAAATGACCTTAAAAAAATGCAAAAATGACTTAAAAATCTCAAAAAATGCATTAAAAAATGTTTTTAAAATTTAAATAAACATTTTATTTTACTTCATATATTAATAAATAAAAAATTACTCTTTATCGTTACAATAAATCACGAGACCTCATGTTGTTCCCCAATAAGTTTTTGTTGATATACATATTTTTTTCTTGTTCTTCGATTTGTTCTTTTCGTTGTACTCCATTAATATGTTTGTCTCTTGATATATGTTGTATGGTAAAATGTTTTTCAACAGCAACTTTTACATTGCATACCTTACACATCAACACTAATCAATCGGTAGAAAAAATCTATAATATATAATTTTAAATTAAAAAACACCTAAAATGACTTAAAAACCCTTAAAATGCTCTAAAAATGAGAAAAATGACCTTAAAATCAAAAAATGTCATAAAATGCAAAATAAAATTTCTTATTCTAATTTAAAAATACCTAAAACATATTTGTAACAAAACGAGAATCGTACAGAAAGCTTTAGAAAAAAATGCAAAGTGCATCGAAATCCCAGCCCTACTAATTATATACTCTTTGCAACATTTTATATTATAAACATTAAGTAATTTCAATATTAAGTGTATATAATATGTTTGAAAAATTCACAGGTAATAGATTTGGATCAAAAATTGGCTTGTATTACACAAGCCGACTGGACACATTACATGTATTATGTCATTGTTGCTGAATTGTCAGTACTTTTGCTGTTAATTGGAAAAGTATCTTATGATTATTGGGTGTTTAAAACAGCTGGATATCTGCCATGGCCTGCGTCTAAAATGCCAAAACTCCCATGTGATTGGGTATTTGAATAATGCATTAGTGCTTTATGCCCTTAAGGAAAATTATAATACCTGTTAGTAATCTATAAGAAGACTGTTTATGTGAGCTATTAATTTTTTATTTAAACGCTACATATGTTAACTATAAGTTACCTTTATGCATTAAATACTGTGCCTTCATAAACAATTAATTTTTATTATTTTATTTATTAATATATTTTATGTAGTTATTATTTATGATATTCATAAATAAAAATGATTTATTGAAAATAATTGATTAATTGTTAATTCTAATTTTGTTCAATTAGCTTTAAATTTATTTATTTATTTATTGATAAAATCAATATGTCTAAATGGGGTTGTCAATTTTGTTAATTTCTTAACGCATTTGAATGAATTCAGATCTTATTATATTTGTATGCTCAGTGGTGATCAAGTTGACCTTTTACTAGAGAATCTTTAAAATATCCTGCTCATTATTTTAATTTAAAATCTCTTTTATGTAAGTTGCTGCTTATTTTATATTTTATGATAAACTTTTATGTCATTTAAAATATTATTTATGGACTGCGATTGTCTTATTGGTTATTCAATTTTCGATTATATTGTTTTATATTTTAATTATAACTATAGAAGTTTAATTTTTATCATCTGAATTATGTAATATTTTAACATTATATAAAATAATATTTGGATATGAGTAAAATCAAGCTTGAAGTAGGTATACTACATGTATTGTGCCATTATGTATATTAGTTTATCTTTTACTCAACTTGTACATGTTTATCACATTACTCATAATGTCATTTGGTATGCTAAAAATGATTATTTAATAAACTAATTATTACCATTCAATGGTTAAAAACAACATGACATATGGTATCCAGTGCTGGATTAAAGGCCGATGGCGCCCTGAAGCAAATAACTTTTGCCCCCTCCCTCCCAAAAAAAAGTTTTAATGAAACTAAAAAAAAAAATCTTGGTTTCTAGGTATGAATTAAGAGAATAAAATACTATTATAAAATATAACCTAATATAATAATTAATCTACTTACGCTAAAAAGTATAACTATATGTTTAATCTTACAGAATACTTTTCCAAAGAATTTTTTTAAATTAATGGAAAACAATCATAAAATTAAATTATAATAATAACAAATTGGTTAAAAAATATTCAAATAATAATTTAAGTTTTTTTTAATATTAACGTCAATTAAAAAAAAAAAAAACTAATATTATTTTTTTTCTTCTAGATTTAATAGCTGCAAATTTTGGTATCGGTCTTTTTACTTCATTTCTTTAACCAAATCAGATTCTATGCATAAAATTGAAAAATTGGACATTTTTTCTTGTATTAATGACGATCTTAAATAAGTTTTTACACGTTTTATACCTAACAGAAATATTTCCTCTTACATTTGAAGAGTTAAAAACAAATAATTTTAAAAATTATTTCGATACTAGGAAACTATATATGTATATGCTTGTAAAGACAATATCATTAGTGTTCTCAGTAGTGGAATAAAAGTATTTTTGGCTTCTGACGGAAAATTTTGAACAATAGTTTTAAACTGTATCAACTCTTCTATACAATCTGTTTCTATATCTAAATTATACAATTCAACAATTAAGAAAATAACAACTGAAAATCAAATCATATCAGTCATAGAAAATAAAAAGCATATAAAAATCACGTCAGATTTAAAAATTGCACACTTTATGGAACACCCTACATATTATTTTTTTTCTAATCATAATTGAAAAAATGTTGCTTAAATAGTTATAGTACTTAACATTAATTTTTTTTGTGACAATTTTATTTATGCCGCTCCACTAAATTTGCCGCCCTGGAACAAATGTTTCTTTTGCACCCAGATTAATCCGGCCCTGATAGTATCTCAAGAGCTTGAAGAGCATACGTCTGATTGTTAGTGTTGATTCTGATCTTAATATAGTTGAATAGTAATATTTTCCTGAAAGCCAATGAGTTAAAATAACAGGGTTCGAAGTACTGGGCCCAATCCATTTAAACCAACTGGATTTTAATGAGTTGGGCCCAGGTAAAAAACCCAGTAAAAAAAAAAAACTAACAAACAAAAAAATAACATACTTTAAGCTGAATATTTATTTTTTATTAGTTTTTAGTAACAATAAAAAACAAATATATGTAAGCGAAAACATTAAATATTATAATTTTACATTTCTTAATAGTAATTAATCATAAACTCATAACAATTAACAATAAAAATTAAGTAATAATAATAAAATAAATAAGTAATAACTTTTTAATGTTTACTGGTGAATGATAATAAACAAATTAACAAATAACAAAATACAAATTAGCTGTATAATATAATATAGGTAGCCGGTAGGTATACCAAAACTTTTTCAGTCTTAATGTAATGTTTAGTCTTTAGAATATTTTTTTGGTTTTACTTTTGGTACAATTTAAGTTGAGATAAACTTCAACAAGTTTTTGTTATGTAAAAATATGTAAGCCAAAACATTAAATATTATAATTTTACATTTCTTAATAGTAATTAATTATAAATTCCAGTTCGGCGTTGTGCCTCTGCGTACACGTTCCGTTCAAGAATACGATTATACGACTCACTAGTGTAAACGGTTTCTCTTGTAAGTCAACTTTTTCATTTTTAATTATTCGTCCAAATGGAGCTTCGAACTTCAATGCTATCATCGAACATCTGACAAGCTCGGATGCTTGCTATCATACATTTACCTCTCCTCCACTTCGGCCTTATAGAGTCATTATCTTATCAGAAATCTTCACCATACTACTCTCATCAGGGACATCTCAGAAGCTCTGGGTGACCTGAGCTTCTGTGTTAGACGAGTTTAAGACGTTCTAAAGAATGGTCTCCCGTTACCTCTTTTCTTTATAGACCTAACTCTAAACGACTATAATCATGACATTTTTAAACTGTCTTCATTATTGAACACAATTATCAAAGTTGAAAAACCTAATAAAACCAAGAATGGACCGCCCCAGTGTCATACCTGCCAGAATTATGGGCACACAAACAATTATTGTGGTCACTCCCCTCGCTGCGTCAAGTGTGGGGAGAATCATGACTCCGAAGATTGTACCAAAGATAAAAACAGTCCACCCAAATGCGCTCATTGTCAGGGTACCCACACCGCTAACTTCAAAGGCTGCTCTGTTTTCAAGTCGCTGTCAAAACGCCCCAAAGTAAATAGGAAGACCCCTATAATAGCTCCAGCAACTAATGTTCCAGGATCATTTTCAAATTGAGGACAAAACCCAAATCCTATGCCGAAGCAGTTAATTCTAATTTTTCTCCGGCTGAAATTATCTCTTCCATTTTATTTAATTTCATAAATAATTTAAATTCACTAATTAGCCCGTTAATATTCCTCCTTAAGGAGGTCGTACTAAAACTGTCCTTTCCTTAATTGTATTTTTATTATATCATAACTATTTAATCTCACTTATTATTGCACTTAATTATCATGAATCATTTATTTATGTTGTTATCTAATCTACATTCACAATATCCGTTGTTTTGTGCAAACTAACAATCCAATTATTATTTTATTTAAACTGTATTCATAATTATCTTTTTCTGCTATATACTATATGACTAGAAATCGTCTTTATTATTATTTGTATCAGCAGTATATTCTGTTCCGCTGTTGTTTTCTTTTGTTCTTTTGTTATACTTAAATCATGTATTTACTAACTGTTGTACTATATACTATTTTATTAATATGTAATTGTTGAACTATAATAGTTTATGCTGAAAGTTCTAAAAAAAAAAAAAAAAAATTATAAACTCATAAAAATTTACAATAAAAATTAAATAATAATAATGAAATAAATAAGTAATAACTTTTTAATGTTTACTGGTGTGTTGCGTGCCAACCGTTTGATCGTTATTTCAGTTACTAGTAATCTAGTCAACGCTTGGATGTAGATATAATGATGAAATAATTAATACTCTTTATGATTAGTTGGTTTATTAAACTGTTAAAATTATTCTAAGTACAATAAATTAAAATTAGCTGTTAAAATGTCTTAAGTCCAAATATTTAAACTGTAGAAAATATTCTAAGTCCAGAAATTAAACTAAAAAAATAATTCAAAATATTTCTAAGTCCAAACCGTAACATACACTAGCGTGAAGGTGCTCAGTGTCACATAGTTAGAACTCGTCTGATTTGCCCTTGCTTTCTGGTCCCTTTTATATCCGATATATGCAAGTCTGTGTGTATATGAAAATGATAAAAAAAATATGATATTTCTTTATTAATTCTGAGTGTGTGTGTATAATGTGATTATCAGTGGCATATATAGGAATTAATTTCGGGGGGGGGGGGGGGGTTATGAAAAAATATATATTAAATGAAGGTTATAAATTAACTTATTTTTAATAACTATGAAAATTAGAATACATAAATTTAATTACAGGACAAAGTCTAATTTTCGAGGTAGATTTGCAAAATTATTTATCACTTCTTCAGTGTTTATTGAAATACTTCGATGAATTGACATGAGAGCTAATCCTGTTAGTCGATTTTCGCTTGTACTATTTCTCAAGCACAACTTCAATCTTTTCAATATCGAAAACGATCTTTCTGATGACGCTGTTAAGACTGGTAAAGTTACTAATATTGACATTAAGCATCATATATTTGGAAAAAAATCAACGGATAGTTTATTCAAAGTATCAATAGCAGATTTGGATTTCTGACAAACCACGGAACATTTGCAATTATTCTGAGGACTTTGTTTTGGACAATTTGCATTTTTTTTATGTGCGAGGATGTACAATTACCCCATACCGGTCAAACGTAGGTAAGAATTGGGCATATAATTTGCTTAAAAATTAGGAGAGAGCATTTTTTCCCCATACTAGATAGTTTGGTTTTAATTAATACATAGATTAAAGAAATGCACACGTGGGTCGTACTAACCATAAATTTCGGGGGGGGGTTTAAACTCCCAAAACCCCCCCTATATACGCCACTGGTGATTATGTGTGTAGTTTAATGTATCTCACAGATGTGATTATTTGAATAATGTTTCCTCGTTAGATCAAATTTGTGTGAAATGTGGACGTGGTTAACAATCAATAATCATTTATTTATTTCCTTGCTTAAATTTGTGTGGTGTATGGCATTTGATAGATGTGGTGTAATATTTATAAGAATTAATTTATT